GGCATCCCAAGTGTACCCAACCTGGGGTTGGGAGACAAGTGGGATAGGGGCTGAGGGGGTAGGAAAGAAGGCATGGCCAAAGAGGAAGATTTTGAGCCAGGCCTTCAAGGATGTGAGGACAGGGAAGGACCGAGTCAAAGGGACAGCAGGATGGACTTCCAGAGAGTGAGGGCAGTTAGGCTGAAAGCCCAACCGCCAACAGTGGGGCAGGTAGAACAGAGGATGTGAAGCAGGCTGGAGCCTGCCAAATGGAGGGAGGGGACAGGTTTCTAAGATTTGAGAGGGTCCCACAGATAGGGAGGGGACAAGACCATGGAGGGATTTAAACACAAGGACGAATATCTTGAACTCGATCCATTATGCTATACTATGATATGATGCAGACCCAGAAGATATGGGAAGATTGAGTGATTCAATTTTGCACACAGACACAAGACAACAATTTACATGTATATAGCGCCTTTCATATAGAAGACGATTCAATGCATTTCAGACAACTAACTAGGAGTTCAGGGTTGTAGGGAGGGAAAAGGTATCCAAAAATGGAGTTGTAGAGACAGGTTTTAAAGAGGGTAATGGGTAAGAGAAAGGATTCCAGAACGGAGTTCCAGAGAGAAGGGCAGAATGGCTAACTGTTTGCCCACCGATGAGCGGCAGGCAACGTGAAACAGACTGGTGCTTGCTGAGAGACAAAAGCTTCTGTGGTAGTCATGTCACTGATGCTGCAGAGGGCAGGTAGGGTGAAGCCAAAGAGGCATTTGAATGTAACAATGAGAATCTTGAAGTGTACTGAGGAACAAAAATCTAGTGGTGCCTCGTGATGATGGGGGTGATGGGCTCGCAAAGGCTGCTGCAGGAGAGGGTATAAACATAAAAAAGAAATCTTGAAAATCTCAATACCATTTATGTGATTCTGAATCAACAACAATAGCAAATTACATTTGTATAGCGCTTTCACGTCAGTATCAGGTGAAATCAGGTATCTATCCACATCACAATACAAATACAGGGTGATCAAAAAGTCATGACACCATTACAATGTCTAATAAGTCTTAAATAAATTATGATTTTTTTAGATAATAGCGTAGTTATCATGAGTTTTTTGGTCACCCTGTAAAAATCAGAATCAGGTATCTATCCACATCACAATACAAAAACAACGCTTGTTGAATAGTCTGTTGTGGCCAATAAACAATGAGCAAATTACAGTAACAGAATGATCCAGTGCCACATATGGTGTAACCAAATAAAAATAATCCTTACATTTGGAATAGCACATTTCAAATCAAGAGGATGTCCCACAGGATATACTGTAAAGTGCAATATAATTCCAACAGAAGAGAAGGAACACACAATTCTTTATATATTGCTTCTAATTGCATTGCTACCTTGGTCATAAGAGCAGGTAGGTTGCCCAAAGCAAAATTTCCACTGACGCCTTCTTTGGTAACCTACTAGGAGACATAGTGTCCAGTAATGGCATTTGCATGCAATTCAGCTTCCTCTTCCACTTTCGCAAAGAGATAATAAACTCTCCAGTTGGTATAGTGCCTTTAATGTTAGAAGGATGTCTGAAAGCGCTTCCCGGGATTATATTACAAGTGTAGTAACTGTGTATTTTGTGGGAAAACGAGGTAGCTAACTGCACACAGCACAGTTGCACAAATAGCTATGAAGTGAATAACCAATTTTATTTGGGGGATTATTGGCCTGAATACTAGAAAAAAATTCCTTCTCTTTTCAAATAATAAAATTGATCTTTAAAATCCACATGAACAGGCAGATAGTGCTTCAGTTTAACATTTCATCCAAAGAACGCCAACTCCAACAACAACAACTTACAGTTATATAGTGCCCTCCACACAGGGTAGCGTCTCAGAACGCTTAACATTGGCGCAGCCTGACTCCAAGCCGGGGGGGTAGGGGGGGGGAGTGGAGGGTGACCGTAAGCACTGCTGAAAAGGATGTTTTTCAGGCGGGACTTGAAAAAGGAGAGAAAGGGGGCAAGGCGGAGGGAGTGTTCCAGTTTCGGGGCACAGTGGCTGAAAGCACGACCTCTAATGGTGGAGGGGAGGGTGCGAGAGATAAGGAGGCCGTGCCAGTCGAGCGGAGGCACCAGGTGGTGGATTGGGGAGAGGGGGTCGGAGAGGTAGGGAGGTGCCAGGGATTGAATGGATTCGGACACGACTGTAAGGATCTTGAAGTCGATCCGTCGGTGAAGGGAAGCCAGTGGAGCCTGGCCAGAACAGGTGAGATGGGGGTATGGAGGTACGTATGTGGGCAGCCGAGTTCTGAATGAGCTGGATTTTTTGAACAGTGGTGTTGAGGAGACTGGCGAGGAGTGCATTTGAATAATCCAGGCGGGAGCTGATAAACTCATGCACGAGGGTTTTGGCTGGGGTAACATACCATTTGGGGTAAAATACGGTTGGAGGCGGGCAATGTGATGGACGTGGAGGAAAGCGGTCCTGGTCAGGAACAGTATGGGACAGGTGGGATTGAACCGGATGCCTAGATTGCGCACTGGTTCAGTGAGTCCGAGGGAGAGCCCAGGGTGGTTGAGGAGTTTAGATCTGCAGGAGTGAAGATGCTGACGGGAGCCAAAAAGTATGGCTTCTGTCTTGTCCACATTCAGTTGCAGGAAGTTTGCACTCATCCAGGCCACGATGTCTGCCAGACAAGCTGATAGAACATCAGTGGACCAAGAGTCAATTGCTGGAGGAGGCAAAGTTAGATTTGTGTGTCATCCGCAAACACGTGTAAGTTTCCCATGTGTGCGGATGACATCGCCAAGAGGGAGCATATAGATGAGGAAAAGGGGGCCAAGGATGGACCTGGGGTACCCCACAGGTGCAACAATGCAGTACACGCCCAGTACTGCACTGGAGTGTCATCTTAGATTATATAAATTTAAAACTGACACGGGCTTGAACCCACAACCTTCTGCCTCAAAGGCTCGAGTGCTAACAACTGAGCAAAGCTGACAGAGATACCACAGATGCTACTCAGGGATCCCTCCTTCTCCATTCAGATGAGAAATTAAACATCCATATGAGGAAAAGGCAGGTAAATAGACTGAATGGTCTTCTCTTTCAGAGAGACAGCACAGACATGATGGGCCAAATTGCCATCTTCCATACTGTAAATTGTGGGACTTTGCTGAGTGCAGATTTCCGCCACATTCACCGACACTTTATATTCCCATTATATTCCTTTCTTCAGTTTGTGAAAACATCTTAAAAGACAACGCTCACTACTTTTGCACTCTCTCTGCTTGAAGGCAACACCCAGGGAGAAATTTTATAAAGCATTGATAGGAAGATGGAAATAAACTGAACACCCCCCAAAATACTTGGGTTATTGGTCACATGAATCAAAGGTTGCTGGACACCTTCACACTGGCTGACCAGGCAGCAAATGTTACCGCATCAATGGGAGAGGTAACACCCCAGGTTTGAAGAACATTAGAAAGTACCACAGCGGTCCAACAAACTACGTATACGCTTATTCAATTGACAATAAATAGGAAAGAGAAGTACTCATTCATTTAGTTTGTTCCCATTTTGCTCCCGTTTCTGAGTTTATTTTCCCATTTTTGTTCTCCTCCAGTTCTTAAATCGCGGGACAAGTGCTTGCTCAAAACTTTATGCAATGCGGGACGAGGAATTCTGTTTATTTCGTCAATGTGGGACAGAAAAATAATACATTTCGCCTTGATATATAAAAAAAAGGAGCTTTATCATCAGCCTAAAACATCCCAACGCGAAAAGTGACAAGCGGCTGATGGGAGTGGATCAAAAGAGAGAAAATAACGGAATGAGCATCCGCCACAAACCACAAGACATTGGTGTTATAACACGGTACTGTCCTCCCACATTTCTCACGATACCAACGCCTGCAATATTATCGAAGCGCAATAACGATGAGAATAATAATAATAAAAGCTGCCCTCGTAAAGGACGTCTCCATGACATTTAATTTTTAACAGACAAAATCTCGGCAGCCCTGGCCTACGCCTCTCGGGCCCGGCCGGGTATCACTGAAAATAAACGCAAATATATTCTTCAGTGAGATTTTAAAATAAAACAGCAACTACTGCGGTTTTCTTGTTATTTCAGCTCAGCCGAAAACCAAGAGACGCGGATACAATTCACACACAAGTGTCTAAAAATCGGTCAGGAAATGTCATGCGGCTCAGCCAACCCCTCCTCGCCCTCTGCCTCCCTCTCCCTCTAATTTAAAAACACACACACACACACACACACAAAAGGATTCAAACAAAAAAGAAACTCGTACACATTTGCTGTCATCGAAATAATTCAATCCCCGTGTAAAGAAAAGCACAAGCGCCGGGTAGCCAGGTGGGCATTTTTTGTTCTTAAAGAGAAATCTTTTTTTTCGGCGGTGGTGTGTGAGGGGAGTGTGTGGGGTGGGGGGGGTGGGGGTAGGGAGTGTGTGGGGTGGGGGGTAGGGAGTGTGTGGGGTGGGGGGTGGGTGGGGGGTAGGGAGTGTGTGGGGTGGGGGTGTGGGGTGGGGGTAGGGAGTGTGTGGGGTGGGGGGTGGGGGGGGTAGGGAGTGTGTGGGGTGGGGATGTGGGGTGGGGGGTAGGGAGTGTGTGGGGGGGGGGGGTTGGGGGTTGGGGGGTTGGAGGGTGAAAGACACTAAATAACCAGATTGTGACTTTTGTCTCCAAACCCCAAATCAAAAACGCACACAAAAAAGTGCCAGTTTCACTGCTTTGGGGCTATAAATACATATCGGGGTGTGTGTGGGATATGGTATTGAATCCGCATCTGAAAGAAGTGCATATATATATATATATATATATAGAGAGAGAGAGAGATAGATATAGTCATATTTATTGCCCGTCTTTCTCTTTTTTTTTAAAAAAATAAACGTTTCAATTAAAGAAAACGTGGAAAGAAATAATGTGAAGATGGCAGGGAGGCGAGGAGGGATGATGGTATGTGTGAGAGAGAGAGAGAGAGCTGGATACGCACCTGCCCGTGCGGTGGCGGTTCCTCAGTCAGTCAGTCCAGTGAGTACTTTAACTGGCGGTGGTGCTGCCGCTGCCCTCTCAGTGTAGTATCTCTGTGGCTATGGTGATGAGAGAGGCGGAGAGGAACAGGAGGGGGAGGAGGACTACAATGGTGATGATGGTGTGAAAGCGGTCGGAGTCTCAACCGTCGTCGTCGTCGTCGGCAACGCAAACACAACAGCCCACAGAGGCGGGTAAGAAAAACAGCAGTCCGCCGCTGTTTAATGTATTCCAATTATGTGCTGTGTCACTCTCTTCACGCCTCCTTTCTTTGACACCACCGGCGAACACCACCCCCCCCCCCCCCTCCTCCGAGCTACCGTCTTCACACAGGGTGGCGGCTGCCAAATAATGAGGTGGCGGAGGAGGAGCGCCGCGGTCTGAATGCTCCCCAGCCGGAGCCGAGCTGCCAAATAGTGAGCGCCAATCGCGGCTGTTGGTCCCTCCCCCTCGTCGCCTTCGACTGGTCCCGCGCGCTTGACAGCACGAGCTGCTGCAACGTACTCCAACTGCCACTGAGCGCGAGCGGCGCTCCCCCCCCCCCCCCCACCGAGGGCACGAGAAAATAACGGCCACTCTTCCCTCTCCCCGTTACAAACTGCGCAGGCGCGTCCTATCTCGCTCATTAGCCATTACTGTCTGTGTCTGTCACACCCTCCCTCCCTCACTGGCGGGCTGGCTGCTGGCGGGCTGCTGGCGGGCTGGCAGGCGGGCAGGCTGCTGGCGGGCTGCTGGCGGGCGGGCTGGCTGCTGGCGGACTGGCTGCTGGCGGGCTGGCAGGCGGGCAGGCTGCTGGCGGGCTGCTGGCGGGCGGGCTGGCTGCTGGCGGGCTGCTGGCGGGCTGGCAGGCGGGCAGGCTGCTGGCGGGCTGCTGGCGGGCGGGCTGGCTGCTGGCGAGCTGCTGGCGGGCTGGCAGGCGGGCAGGCTGCTGGCGGGCTGCTGGCGGGCGGGCTGGCTGCTGGCGGGCTGCTGGCGGGCTGGCAGGCGGGCAGGCTGCTGGCTGGCTGCTGGCGGGCTGGCAGGCGGGCAGGCTGCTGGCGGGCTGCTGGCGGGCGGGCTGGCTGCTGGCGGGCTGCTGGCGGGCGGGCTGGCTGCTGGCGGGCTGCTGGCGGGCGGGCTGGCTGCTGGCGGGCTGGCAGGCGGGCAGGCTGCTGGCGGGCTGCTGGCGGGCGGGCTGGCTGCTGGCGGGCTGCTGGCGGGCGGGCTGGCTGCTGGCGGGCTGCTGGCGGGCGGGCAGGCTGCTGGCGGGCTGCTGGCGGGCGGGCTGGCTGGCGGGCTGCTGGCTGGCGGGCGGGCTGGCTGCTGGCTGGCAGGCGGGCTGGCTGCTGGCGGGTGGGCTGGCTGCTGGCTGGCGGGCTGCTGGCTGGCGGGCTGCTGGCTGGCGGGCTGCTGGCTGGCGGGTGGGCTGGCGGGTTGCTGGCGGGTGGGCTGGCTGCTGGCTGTTGGTGGGCTGGCTGGCGGGTGGGCTGGCTGCTGGAGGGCGGGCTGCTGGCGGACTGGCTGCTGGCTGGCGGCGGGCAGGCCGGCTGCTGGCGGGCGGGCCGGCTGCTGGCGGGCGGGCCGGCTGCTGGCGGGCGGGCCGGCTGCTGGCGGGCTGGCCGGCTGCTGGCGGGCTGGCTGGCTGCTGGCGGGCGGGCGGGCTGGCGGACTGGCTGGCTGCTGGCGGGCGGGCTGGCGGACTGGCTGGCTGGCTTGCTCGCTGGCAGGCGGGCTGCTGGCGGGCTGCTGGCGGGCGGGCGGACTGGCTGCTGATGGGCGGGCTGCTGGCGGGCTGGCTGCCTGGTTAGCTGCTGGCGGGCTGGCTGGCTGGCTGCTGGCGGGCTGCTGGCTGGCTGCTGGCGGGCTGGCTGGCTGCGGGCGGGCTGGCTGGCTGCGGGCGGGCTGGCTGGCTGCTGGCGGGCTGGCTGGCGGGCTGGCTGGCTGCGGGCGGGCTGGCTGGCTGCTGGCGGGCTGGCTGGCTGCTGGCGGGCTGCCTGGCTGGCTGGCTGCGGGCTGGCGGGCTGGCTGGCTGGCTGCTGGCGGGCTGGCTGGCTGGTTGCTGGTGGGCGGGCTGGCTGCTGGCTGGCGGGCTGCTGGCGGGCTGCCTGGCTGCTGGCGGACTGGCTGCTGGCTGGCTGCTGGCTGGCTGCCTGGCGGGCTGGCTGGCGGGCTGCTGGCTGGCTGGCGGGCTGCTGGCGGGCTGGCTGGCTGCTGGCTGGCGGGCTGCTGGCGGGCTGGCTGCTGGCGGGCTGGCTGGCTGCTGGCGGGCTGGCTGGCTGGCTGCTGGCTGGCTGGCTGCTGGCGGGCTGGCTGGCTGGCTGCTGGCGGGCTGGCTGGCTGGCTGCTGGCTGGCTGGCTGCTGGCGGGCTGGCTGGCTGGCTGGCTGCTGGCTGGCTGGCTGCTGGCGGGCTGGCGGGCTGGCTGGCTGGCTGCTGGCGGGCTGGCTGGTGGGCTGCTGGCGGGCTGGCGGGCTGCTGGCGGGCTGGCTGGCTGGCTGCTGGCGGGCTGGCTGGCTGGCTGCTGGCGGGCTGGCGGGCTGCTGGCGGGCTGGCTGCTGGCGGACTGGCTGGTTGGCTGCTGGCGGGCTGGCGGGCTGCTGGCGGGCTGGCGGGCTGCTGGCGGGCTGGCTGGCTGGCTGGCTGGCTGGCTGCCTGGCTGGCTGGCGGGCTGGCTGGCGGGCTGGCTGGCTGGCTGCTGGCGGGCTGGCTGGCTGGCTGCTGGCTGGCTGGCTGGCTGGCTGGCTGCCTGGCGGGCTGCTGGCGGCTGGCGGGCTGCTGGCGGGCTGGCGGGCTGGCTGCTGGCTGGCTGGCTGCTGGCGGGCTGGCTGGCTGGCTGCTGGCGGGCTGGCTGGCTGGCTGCTGGCGGGCTGGCTGGCTGGCTGGCTGCCTGGCGGGCTGGCTGGCTGGCTGGCTGGCTGGCTGCCTGGCGGGCTGCTGGCGGGCTGGCGGGCTGCTGGCGGGCTGGCGGGCTGCTGGCTGGCTGCCTGGCGGGCTGCTGGCTGCCTGGCTGGCTGCTGGCGGGCTGGCTGGCTGCTGGCTGCTGGTTGGCTGCTGGCGGGCTGGCTGGCTGCTGGCTGCTGGTTGGCTGCTGGCGGGCGGGCTGCTGGCTGCTGGCGGGCTGGCTGGCTGCTGGCGGGCTGGCTGGCTGGCTGCTGGTGGGCGGGCTGCTGCTGGGCTGGCTCCTGGCTGAGGGGCAGCTGATGCTAACAACAACATTATAGGAAGGAAGACCCAAAGTGTTGGGCAGTTAAGGATTTTGCACCCCAGCCGGGGGTTGGGATCAGAGAGGGTGGAGGGCAAGAGAGGTCGGAAGATGACCGAAGGCACGGTCAAAGAGGAAGGTTGTGAGATGGGCCTTGAAGGAGGCGGGGGAGGGAGGGGCCGTTCAGAAAGGCTGAAGGCCCATCCGCCGATGGTAGGGCGGGTCATGGAGTAGGCCACTGTCCGCCGAGCAGAGGGAGCAGTCAGTCAGGTTTTAGTACGTCGCAGAGGTAAAGAGGAGCACAACCATGGAGGGCTTTGAAAATGAGAGCAAGAATTTTAAACTCGAGCCTCTGGGGAATGGGGAGCCAGTGGAGCCAGGCGAGGATGGGGGTGCGTGATCAGCCCATGGAGCTTGGTGCGGGAGGGTACCTCAGTGGGCAGCAAGACTCTCCGCTGGATCACAATGTTGCTGCTTTGTAAAAGCTGAAAACCCACCCCCCCCTCCCCCCCACCACGCCACCCACACCCCCAAATGCAGAGTCTAGGTCTGTATACTCTGGCTGTGTAATGCCGCAGTACCAGAGAAGCAAAATTTGAACACAGCAAGGTCACACTTACTCCAAAATTTACCAAACTATTTCAGTGCCCCTACCCTCAAAATGCACCATTTCAGTTCCAATGAATTATATCTTGTATATCTTGAATTATAGCATTGTTACAATCTGGAATCGTAGCATTGTCTAAAAGGGTGGTGGAAGCAGATTCAATAATAATTTTCAAAAGGGAATTGCATATTTACTTGAAAATAAAAAATGAAAGGCTATGGGGAAAGAGTAGAGGAGTGGGGCTAATTTGATAGCTCTTTCAAAGAGCTGGCGCAGGTACGATGGGCCGAATAGCCTCCTTCTGTGCTGTAAGCTTCTATGATCTACGGCAGATAATAATTAAGTTCGTTGGGCAGAACTTTATAGGTAGTCTTTGGTAGTACAAACATAAGAAATATTAAAAAGATTAAAGTTTAGACTCTCAGGATAGTACGATGCTTCGGTCCGCATCATTCAGGAAAGAAATAACAAAGAAATAACAAAGAAATAACAAATAAAAAATTTAGCGCCTTTGATGGTAATAAAATTCCCTTTAAGATTCTTATTTTCAAGTGCATGATTGGTTTTGCGCTCAAATCACATCTATCATTTTTACACATAGCTAGGTTCCACCAACAACTTGGAGGTGAATAGTTTATTTAGTTGGAGAATTGTTGGCCAGGGCATTAGGAGAAACTTTTTGTTTCCAGATAGTTTAATGATATATTTAACATGACCCTTTAGAAAAGACAGATAGGACCTAGGTTTAATATCTCTTCTGAAAAATGATACCTCCCATAATCCAACATACGCCCACTACTGCCTAAACCACCATCCCACAATTTTCTGGACTGGAGATAAGAGTGCTACCAACTGAGCCAAACTGACAATATAACTGGGATTTGCTAATCTAATCCGACAGTCTTGTTAGATTGAATGTAATGAGAAAGCAGTGGATTGTGGGCTTTTGAATCAGGTTTCTTAGAAGCACAATTGGGAGTTAGAATTTGAAAAGATAACGATTTACTCATAATCTTTGCGTCATTAGTTATTGGAGCTGACAGAGGGTTAACCTGTGCTTTGTAATGCAATGTTACTTTTGTGAGTCTGATGAGTTCAAATTCTACATAAGGATTCCTGGAGTCCAGTAGCTTAGTGGTTAGAGCACTTGCCTCACAAGCAAGAGGACTTGGGTTTGATTCCCGGGCGAAACGTTGGGTATGTTTCGTAACTCCACAGGCCTCCGTTTACTTAGCAGTAGATAGGAACCCGGTTGTTAGTCGATTGGCAGATCACTTTTCTGGGGGTAAGATTTCTTTCAAATTTTTAAAAAATAATAACAATAATGGTCACTCAATCCACGACTGTTTGTGGGACACTGCTGCATTTCACCCATAAAACATAGTTAATTCACTTTACAGTGTGTTCCATGAAGCCCTTTGAGACATCTAGAAGACGGGATAAGGTGCTCTATTAAATACAAGAATTATTATTATTTGAGCCCACAGTCTAAGATGACCCTCCAG